AGAGTAAAAAACACACTACATTCTTTTCTGCAATGTCTCCATTGAAGTCTATTGAACTAAAAATGTACTGTCTTGTGCTTAAAAAAGTCCCTGACCCTTTCCAAAACTGCAGCGGCTGAAAAAAAAAAGCATAGATGTGAACGTGTGCCATAGGAGATCATGTTAAATGGACTGGAGTGTGTTTCTGCAAAAAGCACCAAAAGACGCATAGGTGTAAACTGGACCAAATGATCGTTCAGCAGCAAGGATATAGCAGCATGTTTGACTTCCATCTCCATGCCTATGGCCAACTTAGATATCTGTTAACAGGGCACACTTTAGCCACAAGAACATAAACACAATATACAGCAAACTAAACACATACATTTTATTTACGGCTGGAATACATTTGTATCATGGCAAGAAGCAAGCCAAACAATGCACATCTATTTACACACATTATCCACAACTTGATAAACAAATATACAACATATGAGCTAAGTGCACACAATGATTATTTTCGAATCTCCAGCCACAGAATTGGCTTGGTTGTTGCCCAGGCCTATAGATGGTGTCCACATCACAACTGCCTGCATACATACCCGTGTTCCCTACCAGCCCTGTACACAAAGGCTTCACATCATATATGAGCAGTGTGTGCAGAGAATTTGTAAGCTTTTGTCAATGTTTGAGCAACTTTGTTGAAGCCTTTAACCAATTTTGCGTCGCCCTGTAGTAGAACTACTGCTACAGGGTGGCAGGGCTGCGCAAAAAATTGCATTTCCATTGGCAGCTAGGGATGTCAATCACCGGGTCCCGGACGGAGGTTCCCCGCCGGCATCCGGCGATCGTCGGGGAAAGCTGACAGGGGAGAGATCTGTGTGTAAACAACACAGGTTTCTCTTTTGCCAGAAAGGACATGCTGCTGTGTATTTCTCTGCACAGCAGAGAAATACACAGCAGCATGTCTCTGTAGTAAAACAAACACAGCACATCATGTAAAACAGCACACAGTTAACCCTTTGATCGCCCCAGATGTTAACCCCTTCCTGCCCAGTGTCCTAATACAGTGTGATTTATATTAGTACTGATCACTGTATCAGTGTAATTGTGATGTCAGTGGCAGTTAGTCACCTCCCACCCTCTCAGTCTCACCACAGTCTCGCTATAGGTCGCTGATCGACGCGCCATTGCTAGTATAAAAAAAAATAAAATTCCAGTATTTATACCGCCATTAGCAGATGCTATAATTTTCATGTAAACCAATTAATTTACATGTATTGGGAATTTTTTTTTTTTAGCAAAAAACATGTAGCAGAATACATTTTGGCCTACATTTATAACGAAATATGAAGAATATATTTAAAAAATATAGATTTTAAAAAATATTTTATTTTTGCCGCTGGAAGTCACAGGGAGTTCTAATCAGCCCTGTGAATGGACCCTTAATGGAAGTGCCTTCCTATATAGCGGCAACATTCTATGGCTGAGGGGCTCAACTGCAAACAGCCCTTAACTCTTCTATGGAAGTTAAATGCAAACATTTTCCTATAGTCCTTATTTAAACTTGATTTACACGTTCTGCGTTCAGACGGCTCTTCAAAGATCATCTGACAGGTGGTGAGGTGTTGTATCATCTCCTCCTCAGCGCCTGTTTTACTAAAAACCCCCCCCCCCCCCCCAAATGCCAGATTACCATGCCACAACCACTTGCGTTGTGCATGGTTAATGGACGGTTCGAGCGCAGCAACATTCACTTGAATTCACAGAGCAGAATAACTCCTGTTGCAGCTGCTAAGCAAAGCATTGTGTCTGCGGCACATGAACAACCCCACCGCTGTCAACCAAATAAGGAGCATATGGGTTTTACTGCCCCCAACCAAAAGTATAAAGCTGGCCATACATAGATTGAAATTCAGCTGGTTCACTAGGGTCCGCATATGGGCAGGACATCTACTGATTGACTATACAATCACCCGGTCAGATTTTTCTCCGCTCGATCAGTGCCACAGGCTACAGCCAGCAGTGCTGAACAGTGTTTTCTGACGGCAGGGAGGTCTCAGTGGGGAGCATTCCCCCTCCACATTGAGTGTGTGGATGGGGGAACAGTTTTTTCATTTAAAGTTCTGTTTGAATAAAAAAACAAAAAGAAAAACAAACAAAAAAAAGACTTGTCTATTATTAATATTATAAAGTTTACTGGAAAGTAATTTTTGCTTTTGGCTATTATTGCTATCAGACACATAGAGAGGCATGAACTTCATACGTTAATGAACTACGAGAAACAGGTTTTATAATAGGTACAAAAATCCAATTTTCTTTCTCATTCATTCAGCGACTGTTGGGAAGTCCAATGGCAGTCCTACTAAGGGGTGGGCAACAGCAAACAAACACTAACAGGCCCACATAACAAAACAACAAAATTGGGGGATGTCTGAAGGGCCTTGCACTCCAAGCTGGCAGCAGAAGAGGCCTGGACATCCACCTGGTCATCGGCTGAAAAAACTACGGGATGCTGGGAGTAGGAGGGGTTATTATAATGGGCTGGAACTGGGTTTTTTCGCTGGTGTCCAAATCCTCCTGTAGGCAGCAGTATAAGCCAACAATCTATGAACTCGTGCCCTTTAAAGTAAATTACAGCCTAAACCTAACTAGTCATAAAAAATGCTACCTCCCCACTCCTAACACCTATACTAACAAAACAAAAAATTAAATATTTTTCTATTTTCAGCCTGCTCCGGTCCGGTCACGTAAACCAGCTGCTGTGTCAAGTCAAGGCGGGGGCAGGGGAAGAGAAGGGAGCACCACAATGTCTAGGACATGGGAGTCTATGGGTGATGTCACCGTTCCTAGGCATTTCCAGTGGTTGTCGAGTGCTTTTTCCTTCCCCTGGAACCGCCGCTGGCTGACACATGGAAGAAAAATATAATTGAAATATATTTTTAATATACTCTTCCCAAATATATTGACATATATTTGAAATACTAAAATTTTGGCCATATTTAATTTGACAGACAGACAGACAGACAGACAGACAGACAGACACACACACTTTTTATTACAAAATATATGAAAAATATTTTTTAAACATATACTGTAGGTCTTTAAAAATACTTTCATCTACATTTTTGGAATGCATTTTTACAAATATATGTAAAAATATATGTTAAAATGACTTTTTTAGATGTTAAAAAAATCAGTAGAATATATTTAAAATATATTTTTCTTTCAAATATTTTTCATATATTTTGTAATATATAAAAAACACATTTCAACATGCAGTGTATATATATATATTTATATGTATATATATATATATATATATATTTATATATATACACACACACACACACGCTGAATGTTGATAAATATGTATACTGCATGTTGAAATGCATTTTTTTATATATTACAAAATATATGAAAAATATTTTTTAAAATCTATATTTTTTAAATATATTCTTCAGATTTCTTTTAACCTATAAAATAATTATTTTAACATATATTTTTACATATATTTGTAAATGCATTTCACAAATGTAGATTAAATGTATTTTTAAAGACATACAGTATATTTTTAAAAATATTTTTCATATATTTTGTAATAAAAATGCATTTCAACATAAAGTGTATATATATGGGAAGAATATTTTTAAAATATATATTTTTCTTCCATGTGGGTTGTAGACTTGCACTGAGAGAAACATCCAGCCCAACCATTGTGCCGCACTATTAGGCAGGAAGAAGAGCCTGCCCATGTAATGATGTACTGCTCCCAGGTACACATATTATTACAATCTGTACACTGAGCAGTAAAAGCATTAATATACATTGATAAAAGGTATGCATATTCTGCTGATCAGCTTCATATACTTACAGCGGATTTAAGAAACTTTAAAAAGACTACAGTTTCCCTTTGCTGAGGACTGTGTGTCACTGAAAGTGGACCTTCCATGCAAATGCAATGTCTGCTCCCCTTCCAACCCCTGGCCACCCAAACAAATAAGATGTAAATAAAACTTCAACAATAAAGATTTCCCAAGAAATAAGATAAAACTCTACTCCCCTTGGTGCCGGTTTCCTGGGAGAGCAAGTGACATCAATGCCCCTCACTGCTGCCTCCCAGCCACTGGAGAGACCAGGAGAATGCACTCCTGCAACGGGCTGGGAAGAATTCTTGCATATCAAATGCAAAGCTACCCCAGGAGACCACTGTAAGGCACAGTAACACCTGTGCCTCCCAGAAGCTGGGATTGAGGTTAATATATTAAATCTTTTTGTTTTCTTTATGTTTAAGGTTTATATCTATTGCTAATTTTGTTTGGGCAGTGAGGGGATGGCAGGGAAGTGGACCTTCTGTTTTTTTAAGGCTGCCGACCTTGAATAATTCTTTATGGATCAGGTTCAGATGAGCCATATAGGCAGGTGGGTGCTCTCTAGAGCAGCCTTTCTCAACCAGGGAGCCCAGGCACCCTGGGGTGCCTTGGCAAAATGTCTAAATATTGCCCAAAACTTGTATGCAAGCCTGCCTTTTAGTTACACAAAGCCACAGGCTTTCATTGTGAACCATTATGACCTTCTAGCTGCTGGCATCCTGACAACCAATGACATCATCAGTTGAGAAGGAGGATGTCAGCTGCCTGCACAGCATCCTAGTTGGACCCTCCAAAAAGTGTATTTGCTTTGGAAGAATAAATCACCTCTAATGTCGGGTGCCCTACATGTATGGATGTTGCTGCCTTATATAAAACTGTTCACATTTTAGAATGGGGTGCCTCAAGACTGTCCATAATTTTAAAGGGTGCCTCAAGACTGTCCTTAATTTTAAAGGGTGCCTCAAGACTGTCCTTAATTTTAAAGGGTGCCTCAAGACTGTCCTTAATTTTAAAGGGTGACGTGAGTGTAAAAAGGTTGAGAAACACTGCTCTAGAGATCCCTTTGCTGGCAATTAGTCACCAGAGACAGGTGGCTTTCTTGATAAAGCTCTTAAATGAGAACAGAGAGTTCACAAATATAAAAGTCTTTTACTGCGTTTGTGTCTCTGGCAGGGCTTCATTCTGCAGCTCCTCTTCTCTCCCAGTCTCAGATTGCAATGCCACGGCCTTCAATGCCCCAGCCAAGATATCCTCCTGTGACACCTCGCCTTGCGGGTCCTCGCCCTGTTCTGCCTCTGCCTGCATTATCACCTCCTGCAGCGCCCCCTGGTTGGTTTCAAGTGAAGTCTTCCAGTGCCTCAGCGACACTGGGTGTGGCAGGGACAGAAACAGCCTGCAGAACTTGTACGCCTTTGGGGAAGTTTGGTACAAACTTAAGGCAAAGTCCTTCAGGAGGTTGCAGTACTGCATAGCACTGTATTTCCTGTGGTTTTTCAGCTGGGTCGTAAAGAGGGCCAGTGCCAGTCCACTGCAGTGCTCTGATATCACCCGCTCCGGGTCCTTCTCGGACAGGTTGTTCCGTCGTAATTCCACCAGCGTCTGTTTTAGGCCCTTTATCTTCACTCCCTGCCGCAGCACCTGCTTCTGTAAAGTCTTGATTTTCTTCCGTAGTTTAACAATTTTTGGGTTCACAATAGGGTTGGGGACGGGGGTGGGGGCAGAGGCAGAGGCAAGGGCTGGGGCTAAGACTGGGGCCGGGCTGGACGCTGGAATGTCGTTCTCCTTGTTGCTCATAGTTAGTGTTGTATATGCGTGGTCAAATGGGATATAATCTGCCGGATTGTCACTTGAGGACTGGCTGTTGCTGCTAGCGGCCTCATTTATAGACATGTTTTCATCAGAGCATTGGTTATGGTTGCTTGCGGCCTCTCTAGCGGCCCTGGCCTCCGCAGCACGCATCTCGCAGTGCGTGTCCTCCAGTTCGGCTAATATTAGAGCCACTTGCCTCTCATTTTGTGTAGTGATGTTGTCGTCAATCTCTGCCATTCTGTCATGCCTTGGTGGTTGCTTACCCCTTGTTTCCAGGATCTGCTTCTCTGCTTCTTCTGCCATGGCAGGTCCACAGGTTTCTATTTGCTCTTGGCTTTGTGTTTCTGCTGTGTATTCCCCTCCATGTGTTTGAACCTCCGCCCCTTTCTCCTGCGTGCTGTCCATTTCAGCTGCCCCTGATGCCATGTCTGGTTTTTCGGCTTCCTTCTCCTTGCTCTGAGGTTCTGTTGCTGGAGTCTGATCTTGTTTTGGTGGTTCCTGGGTCTCCTCGCTTGGTGCTGCCGCATCCTGCATTACCAAATCTTCCACCGGGTGGTCAATCATCTGGCTCTCGCTCTGATCCTCCTCCACCTGCATCTCACCTTCCATTTCATTAGATACTGGGGCACCACTTGCAGAATTTTTTGTGCATTTCCTCTTCTTGGTCTTTTTCTTGCGTTGCGTAAACAGAGGCTTAGGCACTGCGTCCGTCCGCAGGTAAGGGCAGGCCGCCCCAGGGCGGATCATGTAATCATTCTCTGTGAAGTGGTCACTGCAGACTTTGCTGTGAACTGATGGTTTCCAGTCATCCCGCTGCACGGCCTCGATCCACCTGAGGAGGCGTTCCGGGTCTTTCATGGGGAACCTGCAGAGTGATGAGAACATTTTTAAGGAAACCCATGATGAAAGTAATACAAGGGGTCTAATTTTAAAGATTTGTAAGAAGAAGAAACAGAAGATATTTAGATTTTTATTAATTTTTTTTTAAGAAGACTGGAGTTTAGCTTCAACCCATTGAATCCACGGCCCTGTTTCTCCCTAAATCGTCTGGATCATTTTTTTTTTTTTTTCGTTTTAGTGATGTCTCAGTTGTTGAAGAGTTTTTATACCTTGTAGAGTTAGTAGTCTACATATTCTACATTTATTTTTTTATCTGAACAGATACAGCTTTAAATTGGTAGTAAATCTGAATATATGAACTTTGATTTCCTTGTTTTTCATAGAGAATAAAATGTTAAAAAAAAAAACAAAACAAAAAAGCAAACTGCAATTTTTCCCAACATACAAATTCCATAATTAAAAACAGAACTTCACCTAAAATGGGAAGTTCTGCTTATCCACCTCCCCCCATTATTTATTTTTTTCTGGGAATTTTTGACAGGTACCCACTCCCACTTTCGCTCTGCTTTCCTAGGCAAGCAAAGCAGAAGTTTGGCCGCTGCTGTAACCTCCTGGGACACTTCACAGGTCCCAGGAGGCTGCGGGACCAGGTTTGAATGCGCAGCGCATCTCTTACATGCACAGATGCCATCTGTAAAAAGTCACAGACAGCTTTCCACATCCAAGATGGCAGCCACCCAGAAAGACCAGTGAAGAAACCCGTATGATGACAGTGCTGAATCCCTGGGCTAGCAAGTGTCTATATAATAAAAGTCAACAGGTACAGTATTTCCAGCTGCTGACTTTTAATTTTGATAGAAATGACCAGAGTTCCTCATTCAGCACCCTCATATTTACAGTAAAACAATCAACAAAGTATACTGATTAAAATGAAATCACATTAACTAGACTTTTATGTAACATAGTGGAATGGTAAATCTCCAAGTGAATGTAGGTGTTTTACTTCAGGAAATATTTACTCCTCATTCAGAGGAGAAAACATTTTGGATAAATTCTTAGCCAGGGGTGTGGAAATTTTTGAAAAAACTACTTGTCCAGGGACTAAATCGGTGTCCCAATCTACTTGACCCTCATGACAATCTACTTGTCCTGAAAAAAGTGATTTTAGGAATGTCCGGGGCTTTTAAAAACAAAAGGGGTTTTATGACGACTTAAACGTGTAATATTTTAACATTGCACTTTTTTATCTCCTCCTTCCTGCCTCTCTCCAGCACCGCACCCGGGGACTAGCAGGGAGGGGAGAGGCTTTGCAGTGTAATGAGCACTGATTGGCTGCTCCTCAGCGAAGGGGAGTGTCCGGCTTATCCTTTATCCCTTTTGCTGACAAAGCCATTTTTGTGTTTTTTGAACACGTTTGGAAAATAATTTTAGGCCTGAAGATTACATAAAGCCCACAAATAGGATATATTTTTTGAAAGCAGAGACCATAGAGAATAAAAAAATGGTAGTCCCAATTTTTTATGTCGCATGATATTACCGCAAACTTTTAGTAAAATATACAAGCAAGTTAATTTTAGGGCACAAAAAAAGCAATAAATTACCCTATTTTTTGTAAAATATAAAAGATGAGGTTGCAGAGAGTAAACAGATATCCAGCATGTCAAACCTTAAATTTGTGTGCGCTCATGAAATGGCAACGAACTTCAGTACCCTATATTTTCTCCTGGCGACACTTTTAAAGCTCCTTATTGGTCATCAGTTTAGTGTTATGCAGGAGGTCTGGTGCTACAATTATTGTTCTCATTCTGGCGTGCGCGGCGATATGTAACGTGTACCCTAATCGTTGTTTTCATACGTAGGCACCACGGCGTGTGCTTTTACGCTTGTACGTGCGTATATGTGGGGGTGGGGGGCTCAATGTTGGGGGTGGGGGATGTTTTGTGCTTGGGTGTAGCTTTCATTTTTTACAATTAAAAAAAAACCCTTTTCTTTTAAATTTTTTCGCACATTGCACTGCATTACATTTTTGCCTGGCCTCCATGGCCAGAAATCTCTCAACGGGGACCCGGAAGTTACATCATAACGTCACTTCTGGGTCAGGACAAGAAGGGGAGGGGAGCGGACGAGTCTGTTCTCTTCCCTCCCCTCTAGCCGATGGCGGTGAGCTATTGCCGAGCCCGCAGATGGGCAAGCCGCCTGAATGCTTCCAACTGACATGTGAGCCCTGCTGCTTGCCTGCAGCAGGGCTAAAGTTTGAAATAAACTACCTGCCTGCTGACTGCAGAGATCTATTGCTGACTGCAGAGATCTATTGCTGTGAGCACAAGCTGGACAAAGTTGCAAAAGCTCTGCCAAAGTCTCCATAATGACAGGAAGTGCCAAGACATAATTTGTGATGTCATATCCCTTCCAGTATAAACAAACCACTGAGGGGGAAGAGCCCAAATCCGAAGCGGCTGTGTATGGCAACCAATCAGCTTTTATCTTTCATATTCAAAGCTTAACCGGACAAGCTGGTGATAGAAGCCGATTGGTTGCAATGCACAGCTGCTCCAGTTTTGTTACATTTTTAGATTGATCTGCTAAACATGAGCCTATTGATCAGTTCATAGATGGAAAGCCCAGGAATTTATAGTTTAAGCTCCTGATTTTAGTGCTGAAGGCAGGAGGTCCCCAATAGCTGGCAGTTCCATCTTGCACACCCATGGGAGCCCAGAGACCTGCTGATTCCCACTACTGTTTTTAAAAGGCTCCAAGTGGTTAAATAATCTATACAATTATTGACTGCAGGAGCATTCTCTGGAAGAGATAGGACAAGCCGATTACCTGAAGAAATGCTTCCCACAGCCTTTGTGCATGCGATTCTTGCACCCGAACATGGCGCAGACAGTCATTTTGCCTCTGTGGATTATTCCGGTCCACTAAAAGGAAAAGAAGAGACATTTTATACATGAAATATTTATTAAAATGAAACGTTAGGCTAAGCATTTAAAATTGGCAGACAGACAGGATTTTTAATGCAGGAGAGACATGGTTTGGCGGCCGTCAGCTTGTTTTTCTCAATGAACTACCACAACACTGTTGAGTGCTCTAGTAGTTCATTGATTCTTCCCGTCAGTGTAAAACTGTTTGCCCGTATCAGTTGCTTTGTAACAGTAGCTCAGAGTTCCCCGGGAGTAAAGTTCAAGGCTTTTCTATGTTATAAAGGCTGTCCTGTGGTAATATGGGTAGAGCCCAGCTTAGATCTTTTGTCAGCGGGTTTTCTATCAGGACAGGAGAAGGAAGAAGGACAGTGGGGTAGGGTAATCATTTTCTACCCAGTCCTGAGATTTACACAGCTTTCTCACACAGCACAGTCCTGTCTGGCTGGCCAGGAGACACGATCGTTTTCTGCAACAGTTAAAGCTTTATTAAAACCAAAGATGCAATATATTGCAGCTTACCAATCATTAGATGCATGAGACAAAAGGACTGTGCTCTGGAATAAGAAAACTGCTGCAAAAGTGACTGCAGAGCTCAGTCTCAGTCCTGTGAAGACTGAGTCCTGTGAAGACTGAGAGTGAGCTCTGCAGTCACTTTTGCAGCAGTCGTTTCCTTATTCCAGGTCATAGTCCTGCGCAACATCCTTTTCTCCTATTCAATCAGCTGACCATGTTGACCGCGCTTATGCATCAAGACGTTTTCCCAGAAACTGTATATGCCATCATTAGCCTATGATATTACACCTTGCGACACGGCAAATAAATTGGCAACTTCGGTCACAGAGGCACCAGCTAAGCGGCACCAACTCTGAAACTCTGTAAGCTCTGACATGACTCCATGTTACTAGCAGCGCACGCAGTGAATGAGAAAAGTAAGGCTTTCCACCTATTTGGTGTCTCATCACACAGCGGAAGAAAACGAGTGTTACATCACTTCTGCTTTCAAAGGGAAACATGTCATCCCTTTCACACCTGCAAATCATATAGTAAAGGGTATGGATAGCGCCACACTAAAAAAACTAATTAACCAGAAATATAATAAATCTTAATGAAAAAGCAGCTAAAACCTCACCCTCAAACAAGGTAAAAAGTGACAGAAAATAAAAAAAAAAGTAGCGCTCTAACCAAATGATCAATAATCCCAAAAGAATCAAATACTAATAAAAAAAAATACACAAAAAGTGAAAAAAGTGTATCAAAAACCAAAATATCATCTTATTTGCAAATATAAACTTTTTTCATCAAACCAATAAATAATCCAGTCATAATAAAAAAAATTATATAAATTTGAAAAAATCAATAAAAAACATCAAAAAAGTGTCCAATAATAGCGTCCTTGGGTATAAAAAAATATACGTGAAAAAATCTTTTTATAAATCAGTCAAATTCCAATGTGTGATATAATAAAGAAAAATAAGGTGTAAAACTTAAACTTCAGCGCTCCAAACTGTTAATACTTGAAACAAACGCAAAACACCGGGAAAAATCCACCACCAGATGAATTAAATCAACTCACCAGAGCAACATGCTGGTCAATAAACCAACACACATGCTTTCTCTCTGGGAGCAACGATCTGCGGACTGATAGCCGGCAATAGGGAGGCGATTCAATGAACATTAATATCTTCTGGACATAAAAACTCATAATGGAAGAGAGAGGGAAACTAATAATGTAAAATTGTATAGCAACTTTATTCATAAACAGAGTCCATGTATTACACTCACATTCCGTAGTGTCAAAGCCGACACTAGCTTGAACATCGTATACAGCACAAATTCAAAAAAGTCCGCTTCGGTGTCAGCTGACGCCGACAGCTCACTGGGCATGGTGACGTCACTCCAAGGCTCCACCCTATGCGTTTCGTCACTTGACGTCCTCACGGAGCAGGCAATCATATAGTGTTTATTTTTTTTGTTGTTGCTAGGACGTTGCTAAGAGATTCCTAGCTGTTACTGCTCACCCCCCACCATCACAGGAGCGAGCTCCTTTTCTGAATTAAAACCCTTCACATGTTCTCTCTCCCCTGATGTAGTAGCTCTGAGCTCAGTGTGAGAGCTCACTCCTGTGATGGTGGGGGTGAGAAGTAATAGCTAGGAGTCTCTTAGCAATGTCCTAGCAACAAGGCAGGATAGGGTGATTCAATTGCTGTCAGTATTTTCAGTCAGGCCTCATGAGGTATGTAAATGTCTTGACACCTATAACAAGGATAGTATTCATCTTTAGGCAGAGCCGCACAGTTTGTTCTTATCTGCAGAGGATTTTGGTTACCCTAGGTCACTGATGGCGAATCGCTGGCACGCAGAGCCATCTCAGTGGGCACGCCAGGAAGAAGAGGAAGAACGTGCTCTCCTGCGCACCCACGGGGACGCGCACTGGGCGTTCCCCGTGATCGCTGTGTCCTACGGACACAGCTGATCACGTGACGTGGTAAAAGGCCAATCACAGCGGCCTTTTACCACGTGATCAGCCGTGTCCAATGACACGCTGATCACTGGGAAATGCAAATGCTGGTTCTCGGCTGCACTTTCCTCACGCTGTCAGATCGTGAGGAAAGTACTGCCAAAAACCGGCAGTTGTCAGAGCGGGGATCGGCACCGATCATCAGGGTCACTGATCATCAGTGCCCTGATGATCAGTGCCCAGCAGTGCCACACACAAGTTCCGCCCACCTGTGCCCAGCAATTCACCCACCTGTGCCCAGCAGTGCGCCCAACTGTGCCCAGAAGTGCCACCTACCTGTGCCCAGTAGTGCCACCCACCTGTGCCCACCAGTGCCACCCACCTGTGCCCACCAGTGCCACCCACCTGTGCCCATCAGTGCAGCCCAGCAGTGCCACCAGTCAGTGCCCAGCGGTTGTGCCAGTCAGTGCCCAGCAGTGCCGCCAGTCAGTGCCCAGCAGTGATGTCAGTCAGTGCCGTCTATCAGTACCCATTATCAGTGTCGCCTATCAGTGCCACCAATCAGTGCCGCCTATCTGTGACACCTCATTAGTGCTGCCCATCAGTGCCACCCATCAATGATGCCCAGCAGTGCCGCCGTCAGTGCCTCCAGTTGGTGCGATCAGTCAGTGCTGCTTTTCAGTGCCCCTCATTTCCTGCATATCAGTGCATCATCAGTGCCTCCTCATCAATGCTCACCAGTGCCGCCTCATCAGTGCTACCTATCTGTGCCACCTCATCAATGCCCATAGGTGCTGCCTATCAGTGCAGCCTCACCAATGCACATCAAAGAAGAAATATTACCTGTTTGCAAAATTTTAGAATAGAAGCAAAGGAAACCTTTTATGTTTTTAATTTTTTGCTCTTTTTTCATTTATAGTGCAAAAAATAAAACACCCAGTGGTGATTAAATACCACCAAAAAAAGCTCTATTTGTGTGAAAAAATGATAAAAATTGCATATGGTTACAGTGTTGCATGACCGCACAATTGTCATTGTTAAGTGCAACAGCACTGAGAGCTGAAAATTGTCCTGGGCAGGAAGGGGGTAGAAGTGCCCGGTAGGCAAGTGATTAATTCCAGTGTTGGCACTTTGAAATAAAAAAGTTGGTTTTGTGTTGCAGTTTGGGCACTCGGGCTCACAAAGGTTCGCCATCACTGCCCTAGGTTCTCACTTATGCAGATTTCAGGGCGTTTTCCAGTTTGCAGAAACGCACTACAGTCTGTTTACCATGATTCCCTATGGATGTAGTTCACCTCTGTGCATTTTGAGCCGGTGCGGTTTTTGGAAACTGTCAGACTTTTTTTCCCGCAACAGATTACATTTTGCATATAACAGATGTCAATGGACCAGCACCTAAAACATTTGTTTCTGTTTTTTGTTTTTTTTTAGCTAATTCATGTAGTGTGACTTTGATGCGACTTTACATTCTCTGGCACTCAAGTCGCATCAAAGTAGTGCCGGAACATTTAGGTCTCCAAAGTCACATTGTTTTTGGCTAATAGGAAAGAATAACAGTTCTGTCATGCAGTGCGACTCTGATTCTACTTGGGTGCCAGAGAGCATTTGGTCGCATCAAAGTTGCATTAGATGAACAGAACTGTCATGTTTTCCAATCAGCTAAAAAATGCCACAAAATGCATAAAAAATGCACGTTCAAAGATGCAAAATGCAGCCAAACAACGCATCCACCGCAACCGGCATAGATGTGAACTATGCCTTCAAGGGCTCATTATACACCGGGTTTGCTCTCTAAAGAATGATCTGTGTTTGGATTGCTCTTCAGAGTGCCTTTGATGCACCTCTTCACCACCTGTTTTAACCCCTAAATGCTGGACTGCCGTGCCACACCCATGTGTGTTGTATGTGTGTTGTGTGCGGTTGCAGGGCAGCCCCTTTCACTTGAATGGGTCACATCTGGCAAGTGGCAGTGCCTGCCAAGATCCTATACCTGTGATGGTATACGTACACCCCCAGCTACTGCCTTCCCAGCTACAGGGGGGTAAAAGCATGGCTCAGCTGCAGGGTTTTTACCCCCTCTCTATATGTAAACAAGCCCTATGACAGTATTGGAGAGAGTCACCCAACTGGCTCTGGGGGATGGGAGGAAGGGGAACATTGTTTCAGTTTCTATGTAACGCTCCGCTCTCAGGTTTGGATGGACTGGGGAATGTTTTCTGCAGTAGAGTCCAGCTGGGGAGATTTTCTTTCACTTTCTTCCTGGAGACACAACAGGAAGTGAGAGGAATTCCCTACCCGGTGAGCAGAATGGGAAGGATTCCCCTCTGCTCCTGTTCAGGTGACAACTGTATCATTTCAGCCTTCCCACCACTTCCTGTCTCAGTGAGAGTGGTCACCGGGGCACACAGAGAAGGGGAATCTCCCTAGAGGGGACACAGACAGCAATACGAGTCTGACAGGGTTCCAGTCACCCCTAGATACACCCAAAGCTGGTAAATGAATGCTTTGGGTG